TTTCTCGTTCGTACACCATTGTAATAATCAAATGAAATAAATGGGGAATGTGTCCATGGGACACAGATGAAGCCCCCGCTTGCATATAACGATATAAAGGTACATAACGCAAGAATGATAAAAGTGACGCTACCCAAATTCATACTTGATCTGGGTTTTGTGATTGTAGCAGAGTGATTTTTTTATGCTTCATAAATGATGTAATTTGCACTTTGGAAATCATTGATTTATATTAAAAATCTACTTATCAAATTCTTTTTATTTGAGTCTTAGTTTTATTATTTCATTCTTGCAAAGTATTGTTACTAAAGGATATTTATCCTTTAAGATTTGATTTAGTATATAATTTACGTATTGAGTAATGTTACTCATACATATTCATGGGGGTTGAAATTGAACTCTTGTTTTGATTGGTTCTTAGTTATTGGCGGTTAAGTTGAGTTTTTCCTTTGTACTCTTTGTGTAGAATTTACCTGGACATTGGTCAGTGAAAGACGTCCATTTATTTATCCAGATGTTATAACTCAGAAACCATATTTACAGATTGTATATTACTAGATTCAGCTTTATAGTTTTCTAGACATGACTGGTAAGTTGCACATTCTTCTTTATTAACATTTTGACACGAATTAATAGATTTGGTTAACTTTCCTATTTTCGAGTAAATACTCTTCAGATCGCATGTTTATAACACCGGAATGAAAGATTTGAATGAGCGTATTTTGGTAAAGAAGCTAGGTCATATTTCTATATATTTTTATGGAGTAACGTAATATTTGCCGCTGGTCATAGCGTAATTATATAATGTTTAGAGATATCGTAATAACAGTATTTTACGAATACTGCATGTAGAAAAATGGCGGCATTTATGATAAATTAGAGTATATTGTGAAAAGAATATTCGAGTTACATGTTCGCGTAATGCTATTTTTATATAGACGAATTGAATACAATTGTCATGTGTTTAGTATTTTATATAATTACTAAGAGTCCGTTCTTATGATTGTATTTTGGTTTTCAGGACTCTGATGTAGATTACTTGTTTATACTTTGTGCCAAGTTCCTAATTTACTGGAGAACTCACTCCACAAGTGGTAAGCGCATAATTTGTAGTTTTTGTACTATTTTATACAGTAACTATAGAAATAATAGTAAGTCATGGATTATTTCCTTTGACGATTTGCGCATTTTTAGCAAACCAGTTGTATAGAATTTATATGTCGATATTCAGACATAGTAAATACTTTTTGAATGTTGTAATATTTGTAAAGTTTAATTGTAAACTTTCATGTACTTGCGAGAAGTAATTTTAAGGATACATCTAATTCTATTTGGTTGTAAACACGATGAAACTGATTAGCGTTATATTTAAATGTCGGTCACAGAAACCGGTTTATTAAAGTACATGTGACATGTGATGTACATTTCACTACACAATTGAATGAATGAACATTCCGTAGTAAATGTGTATCTACTGTTTAAAGTAACACTATTATATTAGAAATTGTTTAAACTGAATTAAAATTGTCTGTGATATAATATGTGTATAATATATTCTATGTTACATGAACTATCATTAATGTTTATAATTTTGTTATTTCAGAGTTTTTATTCTCTGGTAATAAACCATCCGAACTCTAGAAAGTCTTCTGTTATTTATACCGGAAGAGACCCCTTTCACATGATAATAAGCATTGTGTATAAGTTTCATAACATTTGGTTGAGGCAAACTAAAGTAAGAGAACAGAAACGAAAAATTCAGCATTTAAGGCATAACTCTAGAAAGGTAAAAGTGACGCCACCCAAATTCAATCTTGATCTGTGTTTTGTAGTAATAAGCATTGTGTATAAGATTCATAACATTTGGTTGAAGGCAAACTAAAGTTAGAGAACGGAATCCAATTTCGGGACGTATACGAACGTCGGACGTACAGACGGACAAGGGCAAAACTTAGTGACCCCTCCGCTACGGCGTGGGCATAAAAAAGCATCATTTATGAAATTGCAACACATTTTTAATTATTTTTCATGCTCGACGATATTGTTGGACCTTTTGTAGACATCTACATGTTAAATGTAATTAGGAAAACATTGTAAAAGGGTTCATATCGAATCATGCAGTGTCCCCGTCCCCACAAATTGAGAAAGAGAAATTCACAACGTTTGAGAGTCTAGCGATATGTTTTCGCGGTATTGGATCTTAAGGTATCAGAATAGTCATCTTATCAGAAAGTTTACCAATTGTGTCTTTTTCCCCGTTTGTGATTTTTTTAAATAACTGTGGATTCGCATGGCAGGTGATGCATGAGAGACTCTTGGAATACTCAAACGACGCATCCGGTCTCTCTCATTTTAGATTCCATGTGATTCCATCAGTTTTCTTAGTTTTTTTTACTTGTATCCTGCTAATCGATTTATTAGATTTGGATATCGGTATTATAAAACTTCTGTAGCCTAAATTCACCAAAATGTTGAATAAACCATAAAGTACACATTCGAATCTATTATATTATACCGTGAATTCAAGAAAAAAATAGACTTTTAGAAAATAGTACTATGTGTTAATAAAATTCAGGAGAAATTGACCCTAACTCTTTTAAGTGGAATCTGTACATTCATTAAAAATAACGTATGTGTTTTATATTTGCCTTTTGTATAAATATGTCCTTTGCATACCGGTATGATATTACTAGTAACTACGTTAGTGAAATAAATACAATGGAAACAAATCTTTTGGAATAATTCATCAGTAATCGCACAGTATATATACATATGATTTGAACCAAAATGACAGCGATACTTCACACCATGTGTAAGCAATGAATATGTAGTCTTGCTAACTTACTTTATAGAGAAAGATGGTCTTGATTCTTCTCAACATTTTTATTAAAGCGCTTTCCTAACTTTTTAGTTCAATTTGTAAGTGGACCTGATGGTGATATTATGGACATTTTGTAACATACATTTATATTGTTATACAGTGTTGTTACCTGTATATTGTTAAAGGTGGTATGGTTTCTTAACATACAAATTTAGATGCTAACACATCTTCTGGGTTGCTTTGCCACTGTCAATTACCATAATGCAAGTGGACCTGATGGTCATATTATGGACATTTTGTAACATACATTTATATTGTTATACAGTGTTGTTACCTGTATATTGTTGAAGGTGGTATGGTTTCTTAACAACACATGTACAAATTAAGATGCTGACACATATTCTGGGTTGCTTTGCAACTGTCAATTACAAAAATGTATGTAAGTATTTATATATATCAAGGATCTCAGGATGAACTTATTTTACTAGAGCTATTCCCAGTTTACCATGAATGATAAATGTTCTGTGCCTATTTTCCAATCTATCAAGAATCATATGTCCTGAACAGTCAAGTGAAAAAGTCAATATCAAACTTCACCTCCGTTTTGTCATCAGTAACAAAATATTACAATTTGAAAAGCATTGGCTGAATAGTTATTTCATGGAATCGACACACAATTCTTTTTTTCTAATCCATCAAGGACCATAACTCCAGAACAGCAAAAGTGAAAATCTTCAATATCAAATTTGACCTCCATTTTGTCATCAGTAACTACTTATTAAAATTTGAAAAGATTGGTTGAATGGTTCATAAGTTATTGCACGCAGCCGAGCTTTCAAAAGGGATCATTCCTTTGGAAAACCCAGTCAAATGACATTCATGAAGGTTTTGATGATATTCAGGTTTACATACATGTATCACCAAAGATATGAATTTTGATAAAAAACCAGAACTAAAGTCTGCTAATTATAAATCAATACTTTTACTCCCTGAAAAGACCTGCATTCAAGTTTATGTTCTACCTCTTATAGCTTAGATACACATTTTAATATTAAGACATAAAATATAGATAGCGGTATTGGATACGTCTTCATCGCTTTTAAATAAACTATACAAGAAATAAATGGGGAATGTGTCCATGGGACACAGATGATATATCATATAAAGTTATAAAGGGACATAGCTGAAGAACGGTAAAAGTGACTTTACCCAAATTTGTACTTGATCTGAGTTTTGTGGTAATAAGTATTGTGTATAAGTTTCATAACATTTGGTTAAGGCAAACTTAAGTTAGAGAACAGAAACGAAAAATTCAGCATTTTTCCCTTTGTAAAGGGGCATAACTCTAGAACAGTAAAAGTGACACCACCAAAATTCAAACTTGATCTGTACTTTGTAGTAATAAGCGTTGTGTATAAGTTTCATAAGATTTGGTTGAGGCTAACTTAAGAAAGAGAACGGAAACGAAAAATTCAGCAATTTTCCCATTTGTGAAGGGCATAACTCTAGAACGGTTAAAATGAGACTACCAAAATTCAAACTTGATCTGTATTTTGTGGTTATAAGCATTGTGTATAAGTTTCATAACATTTGGTTGAGGCTAACTAAAGTTAGAGATCGGAAACCCAACTTTGGGATGTAAGGATGTACGGACGTAGGAACGTATGTACAAGGGTAAAACTTAACGCTACGGCGGGGGCAAAAAAACTCAAAATCATCCTCTATTTAACAGTTCAAAAATATGACTCCTGAAAGGATGCAGGTACTGATGATAATCTATAAATCCATCTCATTATGTTAAATTAAAATAAATAAAAGAAAATGTGTCCATGAGACATGATTACCCCTGCTCGACAATATGCAAGAGTCAATGTACTAATTCAGACCTATTGCTTTTTTGTTTTCTTTGAAACTTAATGCGAAAAGGCAAATTAAGCATTTTTTTCATTTGTAAAGGGACATCATAACTTCAGAACGGTTAAAGTGATGCTACCCAAATTCGAACTTGATATGGGTTTTTTGGTAATAAGCATCATAAGTATATAAGTTTCATAATATTTGGTGAGGCAAACTAAAGTTAGAAAACGGACACCAATTTCGGGACATACTTGTAGACAAACAAGGGTAAAGGTTGATGACCCCTTCCCCTAGCAGCAGGGGCATGAAAAACACCTGTAGATATATGCAATAATGTTTATTGTTATGAAAGACATTGTAAACATTAAATTAAACACAAAGACTATGTAGACCTGCTATAAATTCTAGATATGCTTTGCTAACTTACTCTATAAATCAACAAAACTATTTTTTCAAGCTTGAAAAATCATTGCCATATTGGGTAATTCACCATTCAAATAAGAAAATATATTTTGCTATCAATACCATTACACTGCATTTAAAAATACCTTTGAAAGTTCCTTAACTTAATAAAGATCAACATATTGTAAACCAAAGTATTTTAGGGGATACATTTTTTTAGCAGTTTGCTGTTTCAAGCAGCCTCCACAGTGATATATTTCCATGATTTTCTAACTTTGTTTTTACTGTATTCATACAGAAGAAGATTAATGTTTGAAATACTTGTGATGATTTACATTTATGTTCTTGCTTTACTCGCAAAAGTTGCAAATTAAATTGTTCTTGAAAATTAGTTGGTTTACAGTAACATGACTGCCATATCTGTAATAAGATCATGAACTCCCAAAGGTCACACACTATTATAACCTATAACCTTTTCATGCTAAGGTCATTTCCACTATCAGTACATACAAACTTATTTCTTTCACTATCAAGGTAAAGTCAAACAGATTAAGTCAATTATTTTCATAAGCTTAGAAAATTCTAAATTTTGCATATAAATTTTCAAAAAATGCAATTAATACAACAAAATTGTAAAAAAACAATGTTTTATGACAGTTTTGGATTTGTTGTGAGGTTAGTTAATAAAATCATTCTACAGCTGAAAATTTAATACAAATAATTGAAGAAGTTGAAAGTTAAATTGACAAATTATAACTTTTTTTTCCATTTATGCATATAGTGTATTACAATGTTAAACATTTCATATACAATTTCATATACAATTGCAGTTTGATTGTCCAAGGTCAAAAGACTATAGACAAAGGTCAAATGATATTTATCAAGAAGATATTTGTTATACATTTGTATCTTAAAAAATATTGTCAGCCCGTTTACATTCAATTTGATATAAGTTAAACTGACAACTGGAGTGTGGAGATTTCAGTGAAGGGGAGATAATCCAAAGATGAAATAAAAAGTTTACACTGATAATACCAAGAAATGAAAGCTACAGATTATCATGAGATTTTTTTTGTAGGAAATGTAATTCTATGTAAATTTGAAATAAATTTTGGTTTAAATTTCTTGACAAAGCCCAACAATACCAACATATGCAAATGTATATACTGTACCTGCAGAAATTAAAGTATGACTTTCCATCATTATTTGACAATCTGTATTGAAAAATACATAGTTAATTCAGAAATTTTTGCTGTGTTTTTATTACTGCAAAAATTGCAGAGTGATATATTTTGCAAATTTTTCAATATTTTTAAACAGTTTTTCCTAAAATTGCAATAATAAATCTTGCATGTCTGTCCATTGCTCAACAAACACAAAAAATGCATGAAAAATTTCTTAATTAACAGAATATAAAGATACATTTTTTGAAAAACATTAACCCAAAAACACATACATCTTCAAACTGACAAATATCTTTAACCTAAGATAACAAATAGTCCTCTATCAAATAAAATGAATATATCTTATGTACAACAGATTCTAGTGATTCACAGATTATTAGTAATTTTTTAAATAACTTGTTCTAAAATTTCTATCTGTGATTTAAAGGACAGGGTTATAAAAGGGTGATCTGTCTGAAAATTTTCAAACTGAATAACATTGTGCACTATACCAACTGTACATGAAAACTGATAAACTGACATTAATATTTGTTTAACTTGTAATAATTGCTGATTATGTATTTAAACAAAATCTCATGATTAATATTTTCATGTAAGTGAACCACTAAGAGCAATATTTATACAAAAATCTTGTTTACATGAAATAGTCTCCCCATTATCACAAAGCACTAATACACAAAATCAATAAATCATAACATTAAAGTCAAAGTATTAATAAAAAATATACATAAAAATCAAATAAGGGGAAATAAATAAACAACAACAAAAAATTAACCAATCACAGAATTCAACATGTATCATAATAATTGTATTTACATATATAAGTTCAAATAAGTAAGCAAGTATATTTTTTTCTAAGAATGATATTTTTTTTCAGGTTTGACTCCTTATCAAACAGAAATACAAATTCAGAAATTACTATAAGTTTTTATTTTTATTTTCAAGGATGGTTCCTGACATTAAAAAAATGAATGGAGAGAATTCTTATTTCAACTTCCTGAAAAAAATTTGGGCTTGGAAAGAAAGATAATTCTGTATTCATTCATGACACAAAATGTGTACATAAATTTGTACAAAATCAACAGCCAAGGAAAAGTGTGTTATTGCTGTACTTCATCAAAACTCATCTATCATCTAGTGCAGATATACTGGTTTTAGGTGTACCGGACTTTAAAATGACATCACACAGTCTCCTATTAATCTTACAATTGTTTTTGGTGAAGGAAAAACACGAAACTAAGGTATCATAACAATTGCATTAATAATGTTGTGAAGATAGTTGCATGTCATGTGTATACACAACACAAAATATAACATTTTATTATCAAGCTACATGTACATTCGTAGCCCAATATGCATAATGAGAGACAAACCTTCAATCAACAAAGAATAAAACAAATATTTTCCTACATATTTTCTTAAATAAAACCATAAGTAAAATTAAACATTTTTCTTTTTAAAGGTCAACCATTTGACCTTCTACTTTCGACAACAATGGAAAAAATATTTTGAATACAAACTTTTCAAGAATTATAACATTCTTGACACCATTTAATAATGAAACTTTTTAGAACATAAATACTATTAAATAGATGGAATCAAAGATATGCAAGAGAAAAAATACAATTTAAGCTAATTTTTAGATATTTTATGTACATGTATCACTTTTACATAAATTATAAATTGTAGAAGAAATTCCACAAATTCCTTAAAATTTTATCAATAAAGATAAAATAAAAAAAATGGCAAAGATAAACTGTTGAACACTATTTTTAAAAATAAAAGACAAAATAAGTGTTCAAAAAATTATATAACACGAAGTTCTTGTCACACTCCATATTTCTATGCATCCACTGATTTTAAGCAAATTCTATAAACTGAGCCAGTTTCCATAGTAACGGCAAACTAATGTCTCTGTGCCATCCAATCATTTTCTGTTGTTGACAACAATTCTTGTACAACAGTCTCCACATCATCGTTATGTTTTTTCAGAAGTTTTTCGTTCAATTCACGATTGCAAAATCCCATTTCTTTAAGCTTAGCCATTGGTCCTGCTTCTTTTGGAGGTTGCCATTTGTCGCTATTAGGTTTCCACTCAGATTTTGGTGGTTTGTAATCAGCATTTGGCGCTTTCCATGGTTCTGTTTCTTTACTAGCTTCATTTTTTGGTTTCCAGTCAGATTGTGGTGGTTTAAAGTCGCTCTCTTTAGGTTTCCATGACGATGTTGGAGGTTTGTAACCGTTTGTTTTTCCACCAGCACTCTGCAGAAGATAACATCACAATATACTAATTAAAGTTACCAGAACATCTCTTTAAATAAATTGGAAAAAAAAACTTAGCATATTGACTGTACTTCAGTTGTCATAAGAATATTTAGATTTTGACATATTGATTGATTAGTTGATTGTTGGTATTTAATGTCACTTTAACCACTCTTGGCTATAAAGTGGTGGTCAAGATTTTAATTGTGGATGAAGCTGGAGTGGCTAGAGAGAACCAGGATCTTCGACTGCAGTGTCTGGATATTTTCTTTGGCCACAATCAAACTTTTAACACAAGTTCAGTAAAGCAGAAATAAACTTTGACCTATCTTCCTGACCTACTTAGTAAGTTCTGGACTGCAATGTATGGAAACATTATTTTGGCCATCATATAAACTTTTAACACAAGTTTAGTAAGGCAAAAATAAACTTTCACCTAACATCCTGACCTAACTGGTATGCTTGCATGTATAAAAAGGTTCTTTGACCGTAAATAAACTTTGACCTTACATCCTGACCTACCTGGTAAGTTCTTGCCTGCCAAGTGTAGAAAACTTCTTTGGCTGTAGTATAGGCATTAGCAGCAGCTTTGTTGGCAGCTTTTACTGCAGTGTGCATGATCTGATTCACAAGTTCTGCTGGTCTGTAAAAAAAGAAGAAAAGCATGAACTTCTAGCCAGCCACCCTTATAGAGCTACATAAATGATAAATGCATAGACTTTTCACAAGTATCAGTCCAAACGTTGGCTAATTAGGGGCCCCCTTTTTCAAAATTCTAGATCTGCAAAAGGACAGAGATTATATGAAAAGTGGAACACCAATGGACTAAAATTTATGTTATATATACTCTTTATTAAGGCACAAACACTCTGATGAAAAAATACTTTTTGTTTTAAAAGCATGCACACGTTCCAGATGTTGACCTGAAAGCAATCAAACTCGAAACAGGTACAGAAAACATGCCTGTTACTTGTACATTTTGTATCTTCCAGTTTAAGTGGTTCTTTTTATGCTATTTTTTTTCAAGAAACTGCTAGAGAAGAACATCTTTATAGCCACCTTTAAACAAAATATTTGTGGTGTTTTTCCTTTTTCTTAACATTTGTGATACTGCAATTTTTGTGAAGTATATAATTTTTCTTCTATTTTTGTTTCCTACAACCTACCCTATGTATAAAAATTCATACATGTACCTTTGTTCATGTTGTTTATCCTCTTGTGATTCCATTGCAGTGGCTCCCTCTGGTTGTGTTGTTACAACAGGGGAAGTTACTTCTTCCTTTTTGTCTGCTTGTCCAGGATGTTGAGTGATTTCTACAACTTTGGTTTCTTCACTGTCAGTTTCACTTGCACTCTAAAATAAAAATCGTTATAAAATTATCGACCCAGAAGACCAATTTTTACCGAAACTTGTCAATATAAACTGTTAAGTGGGACACGATGGTAATCAGGAAGTTGAGGTTTTATGATTCATAAGAAAAATAACTAGACGTCTGAGAAAAGTATAAATAGACACATCTGCAAATGAAATAATCAAAAGCATATTCAAACAAGAATGTGTCCATAGTACATGGATGCCCCACTCGCACTATCATTTTCTATGTTCAGTGGACCGTGAAATTGGGGTCAAAACTCTAATTTGGCATTAAAATTAGAAAGATCATATCATAGGGAACATGTGTACTAAGTTTCAAGTTGATTGGACTTCAACTTCATCAAAAACTACCTTGACCAAAAACTTTAACCTGAAGTGGGACAGACTGACAAACAGACGGACGAACGAATGAACGCACAGACCGAAATACATAATGTCCCTCTACTTTCGTAGGTGGGGCATATAAAAAGCCTTGTTTTCAATTTAACATGTATAGGTAGATTTGATTGTTACTTGTCTATCCCTGAATGGTATATGGTCAATTTTAATGTTTCCTGTGATATCTTATAAAATTGGCACAACTAACAGATGCTCCCCGAAACCCCACATTTACTTATAGAAATATTTTTATAAAAAAATTCATCCAATATAGAAATTGCCAATTTTTTATTGTTTTGGTTTAAACAATATTTATTCAATAAATCAAATCAGGATTTATGTAAGATAATACATTATAAACAATTGGATCCAGAAACAAGGAACACTGATCATTTTAATCTGTCTTAAAATATATATTTTTACATTTTTACCATTTTTAACGATTTTTCTGTTTTTGTTTTTTCAATGTAAAACTTTTTCACAGAAAACTGATTGGTTGACACTTATGAAAATGCAAATTAATAACAAAACAAATCTAGATGTGTCAGAACCACACGAATGGCCCCACTCGCCACTTTTCAAAGTACAAAGCCCGTAATTTCAACAAAAAACAGTAGAGTGGAACCAAATGTAAACCCGATCTGTAACTCATCATAGTAGACTCACATACTAAAAATTAGCTCAATATCTAAAGGCTTTTAGAAAATAGTCAGTATAACTGTTCTTTGCAGAATGATGGAATAATTGACAAGGGTACAAATATTTAATATATGGCCCAACCACTAATAATCTCAAAACATTTTTACATACAACAAGATTATCCTTTTCCACTGATTCTGTTCCAAGTAAATCATCAAGATCAGAATCTTTCTTAATTATGGCTGTTTCTTCTACTTCCTGTGGCGGCATGGCTACAGCTTCTGGCTCCAAAGGGGGCGTGGCTATGGTGCCAGATGTAGTTAGTATATCATCTACAGATACTCTGGTCTGTTCATCTGAAGGATAAAAAAAATATTTTATTTAGAAAATAATGAAAGTGGTGAATGAACAAAATTAATTAATTATACTTTACACCATTTATCTAAGAAATGTGTATGTCTCAAACAATAACCTGTTATATGAATAAGTATTAATAATAAATTTTCTGTTTTTTTGTCACCTAAATTACAGTTTGATTAAAAACAAGCATTCTGAGATTATTGCATGGCAATACATAGTCCCCTACTGGTGAAAAATTCTTTGTACTTGAACAACTAACTTGATCTATAACTTGTCATGGGGTTAAACTATATGACGAATATCAAATCAATATCTTCAAGCATGACGAAAAAAAATTGGAAAACTGATTATTTGCGTCACAATCCTCCGACCAGAAAAAAATTCAAACTTGATCTGTAACTGGTCATGATAAACCTACCAGGTATATACCAAAAATCAAATCAATATCTTCAAGCACAAGAAAATAAATGTGGACACAGATGATGCCCCCGCTTGCATATCATAAAATTATAAACGGACATAACTGAAGAACGGTAAAAGTGACCATACCCAAATTTGTACTTGATCTGAGTTTTGTGGTAATAAGTATTGTGTATAAGTTTCAAAACATTTGGTTGAGGCAAACTTAAGTTAGAGAACAGAAACGAAAAATTCAGCAATTTTTCCATTTGTAAAGGGGCATAACTCTAGAATGGTTAAAGTGACACCACCATAATTCAAACTTGATCTGTATTTTGTGGTAATAAGCATTGTGTATAAGTTTCATAGCATTTGGTTGATGTAAATTAAAGTTAGAGAACGGAAACGATAAAATTCAGTAATATTTCCATTTATAAAGGGGCATAACTCTAGAACTCTTAAAGTGACACCACCATAATTCAAACTTGATCTGTATTTTGTGGTAATAAGCATTGTGTTTAAGTTTCAAAGCATTTGGTTGAGGCATACTTCAGTTAGAGAAAGGAAACAAAAAATTCAGCAATTTTTCCCTTTGTTAAGGGGCATAACTCTAGAATGGTTCAAGTGACCTCACATTAATTCAAACTTGATCTGTATTTTGTGGTAATAAGCATTGTGTATAAGTTTCATAGCATTTGGTTAATGCAAACTAAAGTAAGAGAACGGAAATGAAAAATTCAGCAATTTTTCCCTTTGTAAAGGGGCATAACTCTAGAACGGTTCAAGTGAGCCCACCAAAATTCAAACTTGATCTGTATTTTGTGGTAATAAGCATTGTGTATAAGTTCCATAGCATTTGGTTGATGTAAATTAAAGTTAGAGAACGGAAACGATAAAATTCAGTAATATTTCCATTTGTAAAGGGGCATAACTCTAGAAAGCTTAAAGTGACACCACCATAATTCAAACTTGATCTGTATTTTGTGGTAATAAGCATTGTGTTTAAGTTTCAAAGCATTTGGTTGAGGCATACTTCAGTTAGAGAACGGAAACGAAAAATTCAGCAATTTTTCCATTTGTAAAGGGGCATAACTCTAGAATGGTTCAAGTGACCCCACCATAATTCAAACTTGATCTGTATTTTGTGGTAATAAGCATTGTGTATAAGTTTCATAGCATTTGGTTAATGCAAACTAAAGTAAGAGAACGGAAATGAAAAATTCAGCAATTTTTCCCTTTGTAAAGGGGCATAACTCTAGAACGGTTAAAGTGACCCCACCAAAATTCAAACTTGATCTGTATTTTGTGGTAATAAGCATTGTGTTTAAGTTTCAAAGCATTTGGTTGAGGCATACTTCAGTTAGAGAACGGAAACGAAAAATTCAGCAATTTTTCCCTTTGTAAAGGGGCATAACTCTAGAATGGTTCAAGTGACCCCACCATAATTCAAACTTGATCTGTATTTTGTGGTAATAAGCATTGTGTATAAGTTTCATAGCATTTGGTTCATGCAAACTAAAGTAAGAGAACGGAAACGAAAAATTCAGCAATTTTTCCCTTTGTAAAGGGGCATAACTCTAGAACGGTTGAAGTGACCCCACCAAAATTCAAACTTGATCTGTATTTTGTGGTAATAAGCATTGTGTATAAGTTTCATAGCATTTGGTTGATGTAAATTAAAGTTAGAGAATGGAAACGATAAAATTCAGTTATATTTCCATTTGTAAAGGGGCATAACTCTAGAAAGCTTAAAGTGACACCACCATAATTCAAACTTGATCTGTATTTTGTGGTAATAAGCATTGTGTATAAGTTTCAAAGCATTTGGTTGAGGCATACTTCAGTTAGAGAATGGAAACGAAAAATTCAGCAATTTTTCCCTTTGTAAAGGGGCATAACTCTAGAATGGTTCAAGTGACCCCACCATAATTCAAACTTGATCTGTATTTTGTGGTAATAAGCATTGTGTATAAGTTTCATAGCATTTGGTTAATGCAAACTAAAGTAAGAGAACGGAAACGAAAAATTCAGCAATTTTTCCCTTTGTAAAGGGGCATAACTCTAGAATGGTTCAAGTGACCCCACCATAATTCAAACTTGATCTGTATTTTGTGGTAATAAGCATTGTGTATAAGTTACATAGCATTTGGTTAATGCAAACTAAAGTAAGAGAATGGAAACGAAAAATTCAGCAATTTTTCCCTTTGTAAAGGGGCATAACTCTAGAATGGTTCAAGTGACCCCACCATAATTCAAACTTGATCTGTATTTTGTGGTAATAAGCATTGTGTATAAGTTCCATAGCATTTGGTTAATGCAAACTAAAGTAAGAGAACGGAAATGAAAAATTCAGCAATTTTTCCCTTTGTAAAGGGGCATAACTCTAGAACAGTTAAAGTGACCCCACCAAAATTCAAACTTGATCTGTATTTTGTGGTAATAAGCATTGTGTTTAAGTTTCAAAGCATTTGGTTGAGGCATACTTCAGTTAGAGAACGGAAACGAAAAATTCAGCAATTTTTCCCTTTGTAAAGGGGCATAACTCTAGAATGGTTCAAGTGACCCCACCATAATTCAAACTTGATCTGTATTTTGTGGTAATAAGCATTGTGTATAAGTTTCATAGCATTTGGTTCATGCAAACTAAAGTAAGAGAACGGAAACGAAAAATTCAGCAATTTTTCCCTTTGTAAAGGGGCATAACTCTAGAACGGTTGAAGTGACCCCACCAAAATTCAAACTTGATCTGTATTTTGTGGTAATAAGCATTGTGTATAAGTTTCATAGCATTTGGTTGATGTAAATTAAAGTTAGAGAATGGAAACGATAAAATTCAGTTATATTTCCATTTGTAAAGGGGCATAACTCTAGAAAGCTTAAAGTGACACCACCATAATTCAAACTTGATCTGTATTTTGTGGTAATAAGCATTGTGTATAAGTTTCAAAGCATTTGGTTGAGGCATACTTCAGTTAGAGAAAGGAAACAAAAAATTCAGCAATTTTTCCCTTTGTTAAGGGGCATAACTCTAGAATGGTTCAAGTGACCTCACATTAATTCAAACTTGATCTGTATTTTGTGGTAATAAGCATTGTGTATAAGTTTCATAGCATTTGGTTAATGCAAACTAAAGTAAGAGAACGGAAATGAAAAATTCAGCAATTTTTCCCTTTGTAAAGGGGCATAACTCTAGAACGGTTCAAGTGAGCCCACCAAAATTCAAACTTGATCTGTATTTTGTGGTAATAAGCATTGTGTATAAGTTCCATAGCATTTGGTTGATGTAAATTAAAGTTAGAGAACGGAAACGATAAAATTCAGTAATATTTCCATTTGTAAAGGGGCATAACTCTAGAAAGCTTAAAGTGACACCACCATAATTCAAACTTGATCTGTATTTTGTGGTAATAAGCATTGTGTTTAAGTTTCAAAGCATTTGGTTGAGGCATACTTCAGTTAGAGAACGGAAACGAAAAATTCAGCAATTTTTCCATTTGTAAAGGGGCATAACTCTAGAATGGTTCAAGTGACCCCACCATAATTCAAACTTGATCTGTATTTTGTGGTAATAAGCATTGTGTATAAGTTTCATAGCATTTGGTTAATGCAAACTAAAGTAAGAGAACGGAAATGAAAAATTCAGCAATTTTTCCCTTTGTAAAGGGGCATAACTCTAGAACGGTTAAAGTGACCCCACCAAAATTCAAACTTGATCTGTATTTTGTGGTAATAAGCATTGTGTTTAAGTTTCAAAGCATTTGGTTGAGGCATACTTCAGTTAGAGAACGGAAACGAAAAATTCAGCAATTTTTCCCTTTGTAAAGGGGCATAACTCTAGAATGGTTCAAGTGACCCCACCATAATTCAAACTTGATCTGTATTTTGTGGTAATAAGCATTGTGTATAAGTTTCATAGCATTTGGTTCATGCAAACTAAAGTAAGAGAACGGAAACGAAAAATTCAGCAATTTTTCCCTTTGTAAAGGGGCATAACTCTAGAACGGTTGAAGTGACCCCACCAAAATTCAAACTTGATCTGTATTTTGTGGTAATAAGCATTGTGTATAAGTTTCATAGCATTTGGTTGATGTAAATTAAAGTTAGAGAATGGAAACGATCAAATTCAGTTATATTTCCATTTGTAAAGGGGCATAACTCTAGAAAGCTTAAAGTGACACCACCATAATTCAAACTTGATCTGTATTTTGTGGTAATAAGCATTGTGTATAAGTTTCAAAGCATTTGGTTGAGGCATACTTCAGTTAGAGAATGGAAACGAAAAATTCAGCAATTTTTCCCTTTGTAAAGGGGCATAACTCTAGAATGGTTCAAGTGACCCCACCATAATTCAAACTTGATCTGTATTTTGTGGTAATAAGCATTGTGTATAAGTTTCATAGCATTTGGTTAATGCAAACTAAAGTAAGAGAACGGAAACGAAAAATTCAGCAATTTTTCCCTTTGTAAAGGGGCATAACTCTAGAATGGTTCAAGTGACCCCATCATAATTCAAACTTGATCTGTATTTTGTGGTAATAAGCATTGTGTATAAGTTACATAGCATTTGGTTAATGCAAACTAAAGTAAGAGAACGGAAACGAAAAATTCAGCAATTTTTCCCTTTGTAAAGGGGCATAACTCTAGAATGGTTCAAGTGACCCCACCATAATTCAAACTTGATCTGTATTTTGTGGTAATAAGCATTGTGTATAAGTTTCATAGCATTTGGTTAATGCAAACTAAAGTAAGAGAACGGAAATGAAAAATTCAGCAATTTTTCCCTTTGTAAAGGGGCATAACTCTAGAACGGTTAAAGTGACCCCACCAAAATTCAAACTTGATCTGTATTTTGTGGTAATAAGCATTGTGTTTAAGTTTCAAAGCATTTGGTTGAGGCATACTTCAGTTAGAGAACGGAAACGAAAAATTCAGCAATTTTTCCCTTTGTAAAGGGGCATAACTCTAGAATGGTTCAAGTGACCCCACCATAATTCAAACTTGATCTGTATTTTGTGGTAATAAGCATTGTGTATAAGTTTCATAGCATTTGGTTCATGCAAACTAAAGTAAGAGAACGGAAACGAAAAATTCAGCAATTTTTCCCTTTGTAAAGGGGCATAACTCTAGAACGGTTGAAGTGACCCCACCAAAATTCAAACTTGATCTGTATTTTGTGGTAATAAGCATTGTGTATAAGTTTCATAGCATTTGGTTGATGTAAATTAAAGTTAGAGAATGGAAACGATAAAATTCAGTTATATTTCCATTTGTAAAGGGGCATAACTCTAGAAAGCTTAAAGTGACACCACCATAATTCAAACTTGATCTGTATTTTGTGGTAATAAGCATTGTGTATAAGTTTCAAAGCATTTGGTTGAGGCATACTTCAGTTAGAGAACGGAAACGAAAAATTCAGCAATTTTTCCCTTTGTAAAGGGGCATAACTCTAGAATGGTTCAAGTGACCCCACCATAATTCAAACTTGATCTGTATTTTGTGGTAATAAGCATTGTGTATAAGTTTCATAGCATTTGGTTAATGCAAACTAAAGTAAGAGAACGGAAACGAAAAATTCAGCAATTTTTCCCTTTGTAAAGGGGCATAACTCTAGAATGGTTCAAGTGACCCCACCATAATTCAAACTTGATCTGTATTTTGTGGTAATAAGCATTGTGTATAAGTTACATAGCATTTGGTTAATGCAAACTAAAGTAAGAGAACGGAAACGAAAAATTCAGCAATTTTTCTCTTTGTAAAGGGGCATAACTCTAGAACGGTTAAAGTGACCCCACCAAAATTCAAACTTAATCTGTATTTTGTGGTAATAAGCATTGTGTATAAGTTTCATAGCATTTGGTTGATGTAAACTAAAGTTAGAGAACGGAAACGATAAGATTCAGTAATATTTCCATTTATAAAGGGGCATAACTCTAGAACAATAAAAGTGACACCCCCAAAATTCAAACTCAATCTGTGTTTTGTGGTAATAAGCATTGTGTATAAAGTTTCATAACATTTGGTTGAGGCAAACTAAAGTTAGAGAACAGAAACCAACTTTGGGACGTACGGACGGATGTACAGATGGACAAGGGTAAACTTAATGCCCCCTCCACTACGGCATAAAAAGTGTGGAAAACTGATATGCCGGAATGACAGATGGACAGACAGACAGACAGACCGAGTGCAAACCTAAATCCCCTTCGACTTTGTCTTTGTCGGTAGGGGACTAATAAGGAAGTCTTTAATTGAAAAATGAAATAATCATAAACTGTGTGAACTTCAGTGAACACTTCTAGATAATAAATCAAATCATTAAATTGTTAAGTGGTTTCTTTCTGCAGAATATAAGCTTCACCATTTCTGGAGCCAAAACTGTTTCCAAGGTTTTATATTTGTCTTTTGTGAAGGGGATATTTCAAAATAAGGAAAAATAAACCTTACATGTAGAATTTAAAACTTTACAGTAAAAGAGGTCATTATATCAGAACAACTGAATTGAAAATACTAAATTTTCACTCATAGAACAGATAGAGAAGAACCAGTACAATATCTCTGTTCATACCAAGATCTATTATGGGATCTCATATTGTTCTTTAATATGCAAAGGACCCTTTGTAGCGAAGCAAAGGTCTTAAAAATCTGAAACTAATCTGTTTGAAAATTCAAGATATTTCTTCAAATAAAACTTTTCTTACGAATCTTTGATATTCATTTACAAAAAAAACAAATATTTTCAAAGTTCATATAAATCCATACCAGCAACATGAATCCTGTTATGATTATCATCCAAATTATCTCCCCTTTCATCTTCAGACTGACTCTCTGGTTGTTGAAAGCTGATTGGTTTCTCCAAATTGAAACAGGCAGGCATGGGGACAACCAAGAAATCATCTTCACTATCATTATATATGTCGTAGGAACTATCGGTCATACTGTCATCATCATCATCATCATCATCATCCTCATCTTCATCTACATTAACTGGAAAGATATAAAGTATTTAAAGAATCAAATTTACAAGTATTGGAATATATTGGATTCTGGTGAATGCTGTTCAAGTACTTTGCCTGAACATCATAATCTCAATCAGAGCATCTATATGTCCAACATAAAATTACAAGCAAATGTGGCATTTACCCTAGACATAAATCATTTGTTGAAAATTGTATAATCTCAACAAATCCTGAACTTTATACAAATTACCTGTATTTCAAACAGGATTCTGCAAACTTCTCAGATATTCATGATCCAGAACTTTATACATACCTGTAACAGGATTCTGTAAACTTCTCAGATATTCATGATCCTGAACTTCCTCATCAAGTGCAGATTCATCTTGTGTCATATCTACAACTTCAACACTGCTACTTCTTGACAGAACCTGCCTCTCTTCTATCTGAACTTCTTCTTTTCTATCATTCAGATATTCTGAAAGATTAACATTTTTTTTTACAATTTTGTTCAGTTACTTTTTTTTTTCATTTTACAATATTTTCATTGCTCCGGCACACATTTCCTGGTTAAAGGTGCTGTTAAAATTTCAATCAAAGGTTTAACTCTGCATGTTTCACATGTATAAAGTAAAGAGGAAAAAATTTGAAAAAATCTTTATTTTGAGATTTTTTTTCTTGAATGAACACTAACTAGTTTTTAGCATTGTGCTACTTAAGTGTTTTAATTTTTTATTTCTTTAATGAGAGTACATGTACTATGATTTCGACCACAGTTCTATAATATTTCTTATTTGTGTGATATAGTTTTACAATATTGATATACTTTATTTATCAAAGATAAAGCCATTTTTAATTTTATTTACAGTGTTATATATCATTTTTCAAATATTTGACTCTAAATGTGTTTTTTCAAAGTTACGAAGACAACTTCTATAATAATAAAGAAAGAGATCAAGAATGTAGTAATAAATATATTTAAATTTGTAGGAATAGACCCTATTCCATTGATGCAACAAGCTACACTGTGAGCTAAATATTTGCTCACTAATGATATCCCGCTAAAGTTCTTGCTAAACAGGAAGTTGATGAGTGATGGATGAAATACAGTATGCTTACAGGAAGCTTGGTATTAAATTTCAGGAAGCTTTGATTAGAACTTCCTTAGAGAAATGAGACAAAACTTTCAAAAAACAGACAGACAGACAGAGGTATATATATCAACAGTTTATTCTCCTTCCAAGCTGGGTTTAATAATAATGATATCAAGCTACAGAAATTATTTTAATCTATATTCAGTTTAAAAACCATCTAGTGCTGTTAGAAATTTCTGATGAGGTTTGAAAAATATCTAATAAGAACACTCCTCATTTACAATATCTACCTTCTGCATTTTCAAACTTTTCCTCTTCAACAGGAAGAGCATTTTCATACTTGTCTTCTTCACCAGGCTCTACCATCTCAAAGGCAATCAGATCAGGGCCCTGTACATGCAGGAACCCATGTCCGTCACTGAAGTCTGACTCGTCACCACTTTTCCTAGTAGTTTCATATTTATTACCAGTGTCACTGATCTCTTTTTGATGTCCAGCAAATTCCATTGGAATTCCAGTATCAAGATTCTCTCCTTCTTGATCACCAGATCTGGGTTCATTTTCTAGAGCTATGGTTTCCTCATTATTATTTTCAGGCATAACATGTTCAACATTTTTAGCTTCACTCCTATCCATCTGTTCACACACAAATTCTACCATTTTGTCAGCTATTTCAGCTACACTGTCGGCCATGACTATCTTTATATTTTCTTCTCCTTCTCCTGGTTCCCTTTTTTCTGTTTCCTCGTTTGATTTAAGACTTGTCTGACGTGGTTCTAACAGGAAGTCTTCCTTCAGTGATATTTTTACATCTCTTTCAGGGATTTCTTCATATTCACTTTTCTGATGCTTAGAAAAAAGAATAAATACAATAAAAATGAAGAATTTTCTTTCCCTATGTTGATCGAAAGAAACAGTATTTTTGTAATAACTGAATTGGGCATAAACATATCTTAGTTTGGTTAACGTATAAAAAGGTCTAGTTATATCACTAAGTTAATAAATTAAAACTGTTAGAAAAATTGAGTTATGTCTAATTGCCAAACTTCATGACAAATATTAGAATTCAACCAAATCAATTTTCTGGGAATCCATGTTTGTCTATTGACATTTCTATAATGTACATCATACATACCAAGTTTTCTGCTTGTTGAGACTGTTGAACAAGTTTGAATGTATCATCTTTAGTTGGTTCCAGGACTTCTTTAGGTTCTACAATGATATCACACCATACACGATGTCCAAATGACCTGTCATGGTCGAACATCTTCCAATGGCTCTGATAACGACCTGATAATAATAATGTCAATATATATGTATCTGTTAAGAATGGACCAACATTTTGTGAATTTATTTTTTCATTTTCGTATGAAAATGTAATCATAAATCCATGTTTCTACGATATTACACTACCTTAAAGGTCTTGTACATGTTTGGAGTGAGAGAAGTGGTAGGTTTTTCAGTCTTCTGCTGTTTCTCAGTTAACCACATAATATTTAGTAAGAGCAAAGTTTGGTCGAATGTCAATGAGAATGTGTTAAATGTCAATGAGAAAGTGTTAAATGTCAATGAGAATGTGTTGAATGTCATGAGAATGTGTTGAATGTCAATGAGAATGTGTTGAATGTCAATGAGAATGTGTTGAATGTCAATGAGAATGTGTTAAATGTCAATGAGAATGTGTTGAATGTCAATGAGAATGTGTCTGGTTTATCAGGTGTTACAAAACTGCTTCTTATATATGGTACTAAAGATGTTCCATTTAAACATACATGATAACCAGGTCAGCACTTTGAAAATGTGGTAACTATCCATAGTTGCAATTTTTGAATTTTCATCATTCAAAAAATTTTAAGCACACATACATCAATGAGATGTTTTCCATGTATCATATATATGTTTGTTACCTTACCTGGTTTTTGAGGAGCAACAAGTTCAACGGTTATCTCCCCTTCTTCTGCAGGTCTCAATTTTGGTACATTTTCTTCCTTGCGAACAGTTGGTATACAATCATATACTACTTTCAACTAAAATATAAATGAAGGAGATTAGTAATGCTATATAATTTCAGTAAAAAAATTAAAGTGTTGCATACATTTTACACGATAACACTAATGCCAGTTGCCTAAAATCTCTTATATTATCATGAAATGCATACTCAAAATTAGAAAATAACAGCATCAATTTCACTTTATACCTGACATCTTACCAGATAAATAGATCTAGAGAAGTTTTAAAACAATAATCTATTTGCCAATTACCGAATTGATTCTGCTCATAGACACTATTAACACAAGTTTCTTTTTGCCAATTGTCGACATATACATCAATTTTAAACACTTTTCATCTGGACTTCATATTTGGGGCCAAAAAAAGGTCCTTACCAAACCTTCTCTTTTGCTCTTTTTTTGAATTTGCTCTTCATTGGCAATGAAAATTTAAGTCCTTCCAAAGGGAAATAACTTGTATAAATGAATCCTTAATTACAGGCTAATAATTGAATTGGCAAATAGGACTATTTCGAACTGATGTCAGTCAGAATCGCATGCTTCTAAATAGACGAAAAAGTAAGCGACAGAAATCACAGCTAAAACACCTAATTTGAGAAATATGAAAGAGCTAAGGTTGTATAATAGTTTATATAAATGTACCTTGGTTGAATCAGTCCATTTAGATGTTCCTGCATTTCTTATTCTCCAAGTTTTCATAAGTCTGGTTCCTGGTTGTACTCTTGTTCCGTCTGGTATAGTAACATCATACAAGAAGTCTGCAGCCATTAAAAGTTCACTGAAAAATTATGTTCTATGACTGAATTTTTTAATTCTTACAAATCTACAATGATTACAGTGCTCATGCATATATTCTTATGGGTACCTGCTTTTATTCTTCCAAACTTGTGTAACTAATTGTATTTTTAAATTTCATATCTATACAGACATTCAGTCCACCTTAATTTTTTTTAAATTACTATGGATTAATATTATATAAATTTTCCTTACATCTCTCTTTAACTATCTTCCATAATTTCTCTTCCCCTTCCTCTATATCTCTATAACTTTCACATGTGAAAGTCAGATTTGTGTAACATCAAGACTCTCTCTCTCTCTCTCTCTCATGTTTAGAATATTATCCTCTCCTCTCTTCCTTCCTTTCTTTACTTCTATGGTCACATGCCAGACAAACATTCAATCTTGCTTAGTAAATTCTCTCTTTTTTCTCTTCTTTTCTATCTATCATCCCCATATTCCTTTTCACTCATTCTCTTTCTCTCTTTATACTTACACATGCACAGTTGCATGTCCGTCCGACTTGCATTACCTCATGCTTGGCAGATTTTCTCTTTTTCTCTATCCTTTTCTATCAATTATTCTCTCTCTCTCTCTTTGTACTTACACAGTTGCATGTCTAACTTGCATAACATCATGCTTTGAAGATTCTAACCACTGTTGAAGTCTATCTTCTTTCCTTTTTTGTTTTCTCAGTATTTTTTCTTCCTTCTTCCTCAGTTTATCTTGCTTATGTGATAGTTGAGCCTTTAATCTAAATTTGAATGAAAGAAGTATAAATTACACATCATTCATATACAATGTAGGAACAATTTGATTAATATACAGATCAAGTAACCATACTTCACAGATACTGTGCATTCCTTTATTTTCATGGGTACCAATTTTCGTGGATTGAGGAAAAATTATATTTTCCTAAATATATGATTTCACCGTTTTGCCAAAGTCTTTCTACAAGCTTATAGAAAATTTGTACTTCATTGAACATTTAAAGTTCACCTTCACCAACAAAAATGAATTTCCCACAAATGAAAATGAATCCACAGTACCAAAATCTCTAACAGCTATTGTTTACTTTCTGTTTTAAAGACATTTTCATGAAGATTTGTTTTTTGTCCTACATATTTTATAAAATTTGAGGGCATGGATTACATTGATTTATGTAATGATTATCAGAACAAAATGTAGAACAGAGAGTTGTCAGAGCATAGCAAGCAAAGACTGGACACATGACCCATATTTTAAACTTAAGAATATATCTGTTTAAGTAATAGTTTCCTATATATTTCAATTGGTTTCTAAAAGGAAATGCATTAACATTAACAGATTAATAATGACCAAAAAAATGGGGAAATAAAGCACCCTTTTCCCAGGTAAGGGAGAGTGTTTAACCCAGTCACAGTCCCAAGTTAGGAGCCTGTAATTCAGTGGTTGTCGTTTGTTGCTGTATATCATATCTGTTTTTTCTTCATTGTTTTGTACATAAATCAGGCTGTTAGTTTTTGCATTTAAATTATTTCACATTTGTTATTTTGGGGTCTTTATAGCTGATTAAGCGGTATGGGTTTTACTCATTGTTGAAGGCCGTACGATGACATATAGTTGTTAACTTCTATGTCATTTGGTCTCATTGACAATCATACATCTTTTTATTTTTATATATACAAACTGACTTTCAGAAATGACTTATTTGTACCGATATTTTCATTGTACTTTTTTAATTCATGGTGAGTAGTTGTCTCAATAGTCAATAAGCTTAATCATCATACTATGTATACTGTATAGTGTTTTATTTCCACGATTTTAAAGACAAAACTTATTTGAAAGGTTTTATTTTTTAATGTTTTTGTAACTGTTGATTTGATCTTCCTTCAAGATCAAATTCATGCAAGTGGATATTTTCCAAAATTATATGAATCGCTAAATTAGTGAAAATAAATATTCACAAAAAAAACTTTACCTTTGTTACAAGGTAACTTACTTATCCATTTTAGCTTTCAGTAATTTTTCTGCACTTTCAAACAATGGTTGCCTGGCTTCAATAGGTTCAGTTGAAGTTGATCTGTAAATTATCTGTTTTAGAAGAGGAGTTGTATTGCGGAGTCGAACTGGTCGTCTGATCTTCAGGAACACATGATTGGGGTCATGAACTCCATGGATGGCCTCACACTCTTCACATAAATCATAATCACTACAATTACTACAAAAAAAGCACAACATTTTCAATGGATTAACTGTTTGTTGCCTGTGTAACAATCAAAGGAATGCATTTCGAGTCTATTCAGGAAAATCAAATAACTGAAACATAATACATTCATTAAATATTATCAAATTAATCAGCATCTGCCACCCAGACAATTGTAATTGAGAATCATCGTGCATTACAGTGTAAAAAGTTGCTCTGATACCCATCACCCATGTAGCTTAAATCAATGAAAAAGTCAAATTGTTTCATCTTCTATGAGCAATTTCAAATGAAGATTGAATTTAAACTTTCTCAATAAGCATGATAAATGTTTAGTATGTTTGAGTAATTTAGAGGTATGATGTTATTTTGTTAGTATTTTGCATCAATTTGAAAACAATATACAGGAATATGTCTTTCACAGAAACTGGTTGACTGCTAAAAAAAATTTGTAAGGGTTCTGCGGAACCCAGTGTCTCGCCTCCTTTTGCTGCTAGTCACAGGCTAAACAAAAATGGGGAAAAAATTATTAAAAATTTTCTTATAGATACTATCTTTTATTGTAAGAAGCTTCTGTCCAAGTTTGGTAAAAATCCAGAATGGTGTATGAATCTAATAAATGTTTTAAAAACTTTAACTACAGACTGTATGTAATGTTAACTGGAAGAAAAACTAAGTCCATTTATAAGTAATATACGGAAAAACAGGAAATATATTTTTTCAAAATTTCCTTCTAGATACAAGCTTTTGATCATAACAAGCTTCTGTTCAAGTTTGGTACAAATCCAGGATAGTTTAAGAAAGTTATTAAAATTTTAATAAAATGCTTCGCTGGGCGCAGCTTGATACGACCGCAGAGGTCCAACCCTGAACAGTTGGGGCAAGTATGGACACAACATTCAAGCTTGATACAGCTCTGAATTTGGATTGTGATTAAATATTTGACACAGCATAGGTTCTGACATAGAAAGAATGTGGTCTAAGAACTTCAATTTTTTTAATTTACCTATTATGGTCCAATGTCCAAAATCAAAATACATGGTTAGATTCAGCATATCAAAGAACCCCATATATTCAATTTTTGTTGAAATCAAACAAAGTTTAATTTTGGACCCCAACTTGAACAAACTTGAAAACTGGTCCCATAATCAAAAATCTAAACACATGTTTAGATTCAGCATATCAAAGTACCCCAAGAATTCAATTTTTGTTAAAATCAAACTAAGTTTAATTTTGGACCCTTTGGACCTTAATGTAGACCAATTTAAAAAACGGGACCCAAAATTAAAAATCTAAAAACACGGTTAGATTTGGCATATCAAAAAACCCCAATAATTAAATTTTTGATGAAATCAAACAAAGTTTAATTTTGGACCATTTTGACCTCAATATGAACCAATTTGATAGCGGGCCCACAAATAAAAAATCTAAATACATGGTAAGATTCAGCATATCAAAGAACCCCATATATTCAATTTTTGTTGAAATCAAACAAAGTTTAATTTTGGACCCCAATTTGGACCAACTTGAAAACTGGGCCAAAAATCTAAAATTTAAATACATGTTTAGATTCAGCATATCAAAGAACCCCATATATTCAATTTTTGTTGAAATCAAACAAAGTTTAATTTTGGACCCCAACTTGGACCAACTTGAAAACTGGGCCCATAATCAAAAATCTAAACACATGTTTAGATTCAGCATATCAAAGAACCCCAAGAATTCAATTTTTGTTAAAATCAAACTAAGTTTAATTTTGGACCCTTTGGACCTTAATGTAGACCAATTTAAAAACGGGACCCAAAATTAAAAATCTAAATACACGGTTAGATTTGGCATATCAAAGAACCCCAATAATTCAATTTTGATGAAATAAAACAAAGTTTAATTTTGGACCCTTTAGACCTCAATATGAACCAATTTGATAGCGGGTCCACAAATAAAAAATCTAAATACATTGTTAGATTCAGCATATCAAAGAACCCCAAGAATTCAATTTTTGATGAAATCAAACAAAGTTTAATTTTGGACCCTTTTGACCTCAATGTGGACAAAGTTGATAACAGGGCCCAAAAATCAAAAATCTAAATACATGGTTAGATTCAGCATATCAAAGAACCCCATATATTCAATTTTTGTTGAAATCAAACAAAGTTTAATTTTGGACCCCGATTTGGACCAACTTGAAAACTGGGCCCATAATCAAAAATCTAAATACATGTTTAGATTCAGCATATCAAAGTACCCTAAAAATTCAATTTTTGTTAAAAGCAAACTAAGTTTAATTTTGGACCCTTTTGACCTTAATGTAGACCAATTTGAAAACGGAACCAAAAATTAAGAATCTAAATACACGGTTAGATTCGGCATATCAAAGAACCCCAATAATTCAATTTTTGATGAAATCAAACAAAGTTAAATTTTGGACCCTTTGGACCTCAATGTGGACCAATTTAAAAACGGGGCCCAAAATCCAAAAACTTAAAACACGGTTAGATTTGGCATATTAAAGAACCCCAAGAATTCAAGAATAAAACCCCATTGAAATTGATCAAGAAATAAGCAATTTATACGAAGTATCTTCTTTTGCACAATACTGTGCAATTGAATATTTCTTGCTATTGTGCAATACTGTACAATTGACAATTTCTTGCTATTGCGCAATATTGTGCTATTGGATATTTCTTGCTATTGCGCAATACTGTGCAATTGAAGATTTCTTGCTATTGCGCAATACTGTGCAATTGAAGATTTCTTACAATTGTGCAATACTGTGCAATTGAAAATTTCTTGCTATTGCACAATACTTATTATATAATAATATACACATCCTGTTTGGTGTGTATCTCCTACCATATCATTATTATTTGCTTTTAAATATTAATCAGAAATAACCAACTTAAAATGGAAAATTTTAAAAGAAAAAAAAAAGGAAAAAAAGAAAAAAAAAAAAAAAAAAAAATTCCCCCCCCAAATTTTTTGAACCCCCTTATGATTCATCACCCCCAAACTCAATCCCAGCCTTTCCTTTGTGGTATGGTACCTTGCAGTACAATTTCAGAGAGACCCATACACTTGAACACAAGTTATTGTCTGGAAACTAGATAAATGCTTATTTTTGGCCCCTTTTTGGCCCCCAATTCCTAAACGTTTCGGGCAATTACCCCCAAACTCAATTCCAGCTTTCCCTTTGTGATATGGAACCTTGTAGTACAATTTCAGAAATATCCAAACACTTACACACAAGTTATTGTCATGAAACTAGAAAAATGCTTGTTTTTTGCCCCTTTTTTGGCCCCTAATTCCTAAAATTTTGAGGCAATTACCCCCAATATCAATTACAGCCTTCCCTTTGTGATATGGAACCTTGTGGTACAATGTCAGAGAGATCCATACACTTACACACAAGTTATTGTCTGGAAGTTACAAAAATGCTTATTTCTGGCCCCTTTTTGGCCCCTAATTCCTTAACTGTTGGTACCATAACCCCCAAAATCAATCCCCACCTTCCTTTCGTGGTATTGAACCTTATGGTAAAATTTCATGGAGATCCATTCACTTAAACTAAAGTTAGAGTGCGAAAACCAATGTGTCTTCGGACGACGCCGGACGACGACGACAACGACGACGACGACGACGACGCCAACGTCATACCAATATACGACCAAAAAATTTTCAATTTTTGCGGTCGTATAAAAACTTTAACCACAGAGAAATGCAGAGTGAATGTAATGTTAACTGGAAGAAAAACTAAGTCCATTTATAAGTAGTATACAGAAAAACAGAAAATATATTTTTACAAAATTTCCCTCTAGATACTAGCTATTGATCATAAACAAGCTTCTGTCCATGTTTGGTACAAATCCAGGATAGTTTAAGAAAATTATTAAAATTTTGAAAACTTTAACCACAAAATGAATGTAATGTTACCTGGCAGAAAAACTAAGTCCATTTATAAGTAAAATACGGAAAAACAGAATTTTTTTTTTACAAAATTTACTTCTTGATACTATCTTATGATCATAAACAAGCTTCTGTCCAAGTTTGTTAGAAATCCAGGATAGTTTAAGAAAGTTATTAAAATTTCAAAAACTTTAACCACAGAGTGAATATTTGTGGACAACGCCGACGACAGAATGTAGGATCGCTATGTCTCGCTTTTGCGACAAAAGTCGCAGGCTCGACAAAAACCAAGAAAACTAAATGTTTTGGGATTACATACCAGCATTTGTACCGAGCTCCTACAATGGTCCTCTCACAGAAGTCACAGGTCACATGTTCATGGTAGTATATTGCTGTAAACAAAGTAAATATTGCTGTAAACAAAGTAAATATTGCTGTAAACAAAGTAAATATTGCTGTAAACAAAGTAAATATTGCTGTAAACAAAGTAAATATTGCTGTAAACAAAGTAAATATTGCTGTAAACAAAGTAAATACTGCTGTAAACATAGTAAATACACAAAGTAAAACTAATTGACCAAGACTTTTTCTCACTCTTTGAATTCTATGAGTAAATGATACAACGTATTACTTATTGGAGTGAACTTGGCTTACTATTGGTGTACTGTATATATTGGGTTATTTTTCGTGTCATGTTTTGTTCGCAACTTAAGTCTTAGAAAGGTCCGTTAAATCTTGGCTGTGTTCATTATTCCTGTTTCAAAATAAGCCTTGTACAATGCATATAAATGGACAATGCAACGATCATGTACATGTAGGGTACTTTTACAGTAATATGCCTTTCACAAAATTAGACGTATGTGAAAATTTCTAGATACACAATATTTCAACATGACACAACTTCGACCTCTAAGTATATCTCACTGACAGTAGTTTAAGACAGTATATGAAGAAATCTATTATTTTGTAGGATATAACTTTTATACCAAAAAATATATATCAGTGAATATTAAATTTTATTGGTAGAATTAAATCTTATACTTGGCAGTAAATAAAGTTAATTCAATAAACAATTTCATCCTTTACATACCGAAAAAGATCAATTTGTCTGATCAACTACTTGCAATTCTAAACCTCAGTCTAAATCTTATTTTTTTTTCAACCAATTAAAATTGCAGATAAATTTGCATATCTTTTCTGTTTTTCGTTGTTGTGCTTTGTTGTTGGATTTCTGTTGTGTTTTTATATTTTCAGTCGTAATTTTTAGGTTTGTTTGATACATACGATGTGAAGATGTTGCTTCTACTGTTCCCACTTCTTTGTTCTTTACTGCTGATGAGATAGGAGTATCTTCTGTCTTTATTGGGGATACAGGTATTTCTACCGTACCATCAGAGTTACCCCCCTTCATTGACTGTATCACTGCTCCATCTAATCCCTTCAATACTTGTTTCACTGTTTTCCTGGTAACATCTCTTACAATTTCTGTTCTCAATTCAAGTTTTAACTGTAAAATATAAAAAGAATGTCAGACTTACAAATCACAAATAATGATCTTCAAATTGTACCAAATTCATTTAATAAGCTAGAATTAAATAAAACAAGTGAAACTGCAAGATACTGCTCACTGATGATACCCCCGCCCAAATACTTGACGGTAAACAGGAAGTTGTTGAGTGATGAATCTGAAAACGCATCACACGGTATAGCTGACTTATATAAACCCTGATATATAAATATTCATAGGACGGATGGACAGAGGTAAAACAGTATATACCCCCACTTTTTTAAAGCAGGGGTATAATAAAAAATTCTGATTGGTAAATAATACAAATCAATTTTTAAAAGGACCAATGAACATGATAAATACATGTGGTAACTTTGAAATAAACTACAATTATTTTTATGAATGGGAGTCGTTGACTTTTATTTGTTTTTTTCCTCTTTGAGGTTGCTTGAAAAATCACAACAGACACTTTACTCTAGCTTCACTACAAAATCAAAATAGAATAGACACGTGTTTCTCATTAAAGACAGGGAGGGTTTTGACCTTAAAATGACTTATAGGTTTTGTGTCCCTGGGTTGCTGTTTGATTGATGTAGACAACACATATCTGCTAATTCAAAGACACTAAAATTGAATTAATATTGCATATTTATTTAATATCAACTGCTTTGTATATGAAGTTCAATAAGTAAAGTAAACGTAATAATCTAGTACTGTTACTTCTAACACGATTCAAAATATCATTTATCAAATCATTCAAAAGGGTGACAACAGGACAATGTGAATGTTTTGTTTGTCCATTTAAATAAAATTGAATTGCCACTTGCAATGACTGCGACTCATTTAAAAAAAAATCTTACGAGAAACAAGAATGTGTCCATAGCACACAGATGCCCCACTCGCACTATCATTTTCTACGTTCAGTGGACCGTGAAATTGGGCTCAAAACTCTTAATTTGGCATTAAAATTAGAAAGATCATATCATAGGGAACATTTGTACTAAGTTTCAAGTTGATCGGACTTCAAATTCATCAATAAACTGCTTCGCTGAGCGCAGCTGGATACGCCCGCAGAGGTCCAACCCTGAACAGTTGGGGCAAAAATGGACACAATATTCAAGCTTGATACAGGTCTGAATTTGGATTGTATTAAATATTTGACATATTATAGGTTTCTGAATAAATGTAATCAAAGAACTTGAAATTGGTTATATGAATTGAATTTATATTCAATTAAAGATTTCTTGCTGTTGTGCAATACACTATGCTGTTGCGCAATACTTAGTAAATCTGTTGTCAGACTATAAACAATTAAAGTTCAATTAATTCTCAATGTCATATTAGAAATTTATGAAAATATAAAGGGAGCTTACATCAATAGATATAAGCAATTCACCAAAGTTTCATGAGAATTGCTGACAGCACTTTTGAGTTATTGTCCGAAAACTGGAAAATCCCCCCTTTTTTAATGAATAAAACCCCATAACTCAGAAATGTAAAATGTAAAATTTATAAAATTCTAAACAGAGCTTACATCAATAGATATAAACAATTCACCAAAGTTTCAAAAGAACTGCTGAAAGCATTTTTGATTTTTTGTCCGAAAACTGGAAAATCCCCCTTTTTTATGAAAAAAAACCCTGTAACTCGGAAACGTAAAATCTAAAATATATTTAAATCAAAAGGGAGCTCATGTCAATAGATATAAACAATTCACCACAATTTCTTGCAAGTTGGTGAAAGCATTCTTGAGTTATTGTCCGAAAACTGGAAAATCCCACTTTTTTTAATGAATAAAACCCCATAACTCGGAAACGTAAAATCTAAAATTTATAAAAAACGAAAGGGAGATCACGTCAATATATATAAACAATTCACCAAAGTTTTATGCAAATTGGTTAAAGCGTTTTTGAGTTAATGCCCGACATTTTGACGACGGACGGACAATGGTATACCATAATACGTCCCGTAAACGGGCGTATAAAAACTACCATAACATTAAACTTTAACCTGAAGTGGGACAGACGGACAAACGGACGCACAGACCGAAAAACATAATACCCCTAGGTGGGGCATAAAAAGAATACCTGCTGCATGTATTTAATGAACACATCATACGGCATAGCAGAATCATCTGAAGTTTCAGCCTCTTCTTCATATCTGTGTCTTCGTGACCTTTCTGCACTTCTACAATGACGCCTTCTATGTTCTAATGTCTTTTCAGACTTTCTTACTTTTTGTCTCATTACCTTTGGCTAAAACAATAAAAACATGATTTGTTGATATTAACTATGGTATTGGTATGATTTAAGTGATACATTGTAAAATTCTAGTTCATAAATTTTTTGAATTATATTTAAACTATAAATGCAACTCTGTCATGTCTGTCATGGAACAGAAGTTCCTATATAATATTTTTTCCACTGAAAGAAATATTACAGTATTTGTTCATGACGGAATAAAGGGTACAATATATTGATTCCTGACTGAATAAACAGTATAGAGTATTTGTTCCAACAGGAACAGAAATAATATGATTGTTTATAGCAAATTTTCCAGAGTTCTTCTGTTAGGAGTAACAAATATATGTTGTCAACTCCTTCAGCCAATGTTGACCTTGGGTGATTTTGCAATTCTTTTTGGGTTCTTTTGGTTTTTATGCTCTCTTTTATTTTGACATCCGAACACTGGTATCATTCGCTTTTGAAATTCAACTGAAAACTATTTGTACCTTGACATAAACTGCTCCCGTCTCTTCATCTTTCTGTCCATCAGATGGCTTTAGTTCTCCAGCCTCCTTCTTTTCATCTTCTGATGGAGTAACAATGTCAACAGTTGGTGCCATTTGCTTTTCTACTTCTTTAGATCTTATCAATGGCTTACTGTCTTCGTGGAGCCTGTGTATTTTAAGAAAAAGTTTTGAATTTTACAAAACACAGGTGATCTATTTTTAGATTGTGATCAGTGACATTTCTTTATTCATCATTTCTATTTTTGGCATTTGATATATTTCTCATTAGTAAACATTTTTTTTAGACAGACAGACAATCAAACAGACATCATGACCAATATATACTTTATACAATACAAACATTCTGAATACCAGTCTAAACGCTCAACCACAGGTCCACCAGCCTATGCTTGTTAAATTGCAATCAGGCCTGTAAAAATTTACTCTGCAGCCCAATATATCCTAAAGTTTATGGTTAAGACTGGAATATGAATGGGATGAACCAGAAAAATTCTGGGGGTAGATGCAGGCACTTGTATAAAAATTTCTTAGGGTGTTTGTTGGGTTCAGAACATATTTTTACATTGAGTATACAGCAAATTCTATGGGTGCCTTCCAAGACACCTCTTGTATTTTTTTCCTGAAACAACTAAAAAGGGTCAATAAGTATTGAATACTGAATATAAACAGTTCATTACCACATTTCTAGTTTCTCTAACTCTGCCTCACTAGAACAGGAATCTCCTCCTTGTTCTTTCTGAGGTTCTGTGTTCTGTTGAGGTTCAGATTTAGGGTCAACAGAAGATTCCATCATTATCTTTACATCAGTGTCTCCTCCTGGTGTCTGTGGAGAATTATCCCCCCTGTGTGTTTCTGACTCTACTTGTTGTCCTGTGAAATTTCTGAGTTTGAGATGTAGAGTACTGGAGCAGTTCTGTGCAACCTGAAATCAGAATTCCAGAAATTTTTCAGCTATTGTTTTTATTTTCCATAAAAAGTCAACATTATAAAATAACACATGATACTTGACATATCAGATCATAAATTACATTGCATTAGGATCTTAAATTACATTGCCATAGGGATCTTAAATCACATTGCATTAGGATCTTAAATTATATTGCATTCAGATCTTTTGATTGCATTGCCTATATTTTGTGTAACTTTTATTTTTCTTAACCTTTAAAGGTAAACTACAACTTTAACCTTCTTCATGTCTAATTTACCTCGCTGATTTTCAATATACATGATATATATAATAAAGGGATATGGCACAACTCTGGACATTTCATAAAAGCTGATAAAACTGAATCAGATAAAGGTTTTTATACATGTACATACTTTGAAAGCTTCCTCCAACTCCTCTTGACTGCTTAAAATAATCTAAAGAAGAAAAACAAGTGTGTGTCAGAGTAAGAAATCATTACAGGTGTCTGCTGAAAGTGAGTCTACCTAGAAAACTTTTAACTGTAAATTTGCAATAACCGTGAACAACATGACAAGTGCCTTTCATGGAGCAGGATCTGCTTACCATTCAGGAGCATCTGAGATCATCTCAAAATTTTGGTGGGGTTGCTATTGCTAGTTTTGAAACAATCATAAACAATGCATTTCTTTTTAGTTCATGTGTCTATAAATATGTGTGGAAATATAAACATCTGAACTTCGTATAAATTGGTGACCTATATAATTGTATATTGTGTTAAGTCTCCCGTTGTTTATTATACATTATTAACCAATGACTTAAAATACATATCAATAAAATGTCCATTTAATATGATTTCATGTGCGGGTCATTAATGCATGTCTAATACAGAAAAGCTGGTTAATACAGAATTTTTACTGGTCTTAATCATGTTAATACAGAATTTTTACTGGTCTTAATCATGTTAATACAGGATTTTAACTACCAGTTTTTTAATAAAATGCTTCGCTGGACGCCGGACGACGACGACAACAACGCCAACGTCATACCAATATACGACCGCAAAATTTTTTTGCGGTCGTATAAAAAGGTGTCAGAAAATGGATGTGTGTATTATGTGAAATATTTGATTTTAACATGTCTGATGTTGGAGTTATTGTTATTTTTCATATGTAATAATAATGTTATACTATTTTTTTCTTTGAGTGTTTACCAAATACGGATGGTAGACATGGTAGAAAGCATGAATATCCAGAATTGTCAACAATAAAGGATTATTTCTCTGAGGGCGCAGTCTGAATTGAGAGAAATTTGTAGGGTTGACAATCTTGGATATGCACTGCTTCAATTGGGCAACACTTGTTTAATTATACCAAAGGGCCCTTCAAACCATTGAAAATACATGTTAAAGAAGCTCCAGTACATGCATGACATGTCTTACTGTAGTAGGCCTAACAAATAATCTGTCAAAACACTTATGTCAGAAAATTATTTTGTGACTTAAAATATCTCATATGTACACCAAATGAAGATTCTTTCTGTAAAGTATTGATGTCCCAGAAAAGGACAGTTTGTGAAAGCTATCCTCGGCACATGATGGATTTCAAATACTTGTTTCTACGTCACTCCAGTCCACGAACAATTCTTACCTGGACATTGCCGTTTTGTTTACATAAGTTAGTAACGTCATTTTGATGGGAGATAACTCGTGTAAAATTCAAGAGGCTCAAAGGTTTTTTTTTCCGGTGAATAAAAAGGATTTACATTATTTTTGGAGGGGTTCTTCAACATACCTTGCATTAAAATTATTATTAACCCAAATAGTTCATATTGATCATGTATGAGTCTTCCTACAGTCATGTTTATCCTCAGTCAGCTTTTCATGGCTATTTTAAGTCATTGGTTAATAAAGGTGTCATCATGTATTATGTCCTTGTACAGTCATATTGGTTCTCCATCAGCTGTTTTGGCTCTCGGCCTCGAGCCAATACAGCCAACCTTGACCCAATACAACTGTACTTCAACATAATACAGGATTAATATGAAAACACTCATTTAATAACACTATATAATTTGTACTGCTCTCATGGCCAATGTCTTTGCCAACAACAGAAACACATTATTACAGTCACTTTATTAACATATTGGTTTTTTTTATTATTTACCATGGTTTAAAAGTTCTTTATTTCCAATTAGCAAATAAAAAAGCTGCTTCTTTAAAAAAAAAATTTAACTGACAGACCCTATATATATACATGTATATCACTGGTGATCCGATGGATAAAATCTGTCGTAGAATTAACACTGGTTCAGACGTACTTATAATATAATTATTTCTGTGACTGCATCCTACATTAATTTGTAAGATCCTCTTCGATAAATAATCAGATCAGCTGATCTATAATATTCCATCTTCATGCCTTGTATCATGTACTGTGTTACGATGCTAGATAAAAACTGATGAGGAAAGGTAACACCCCGCCACCGAAAGCTTGATTTTTGTCGAGCCTAGGTGGTCGAGTAGTCTAGCGCGTCAGGCATAGTGCAAGGCGATTTGGTGCCACGATATCTCAGTAGCATGAGTTCTAATCCGGGCCAGGGAAAACAAAAAATTTGCTTCTGCAAATATTTATATCTATTTTTACGTTCATTATAATCTTGTTACCTAAGATTTCATTGATAACAAAGAAGTACATAACGTGTCACTGAATAGTCTAAGCCATTAATTCATTTGTATATCTACTGGCTTCTTAGGTAAACATTTGAGACTGATGGGCAGTTTATTATTTGTTGGGCTAATAAATATATATCCCAGAAAAGTTGAGCATGTAATAAAACTTACATAGTCACCATCTGTATCAACATAGAATACCTCCACATTTTCACAGTCGTACTGGACCTTCAACTGAAAGACAACACACAATAAACATGTACAATAAATGTTATCATATTACATTGTATCATGATTATCATTATGTAAAGTTATTCAGATTATATTTAAGCCTGTCAGAGTCATGTTTTATCTTCCATGTCCTGATATTCATCACTTTTGAAAATGTCTGTATTAAACTTGATTTCACAACATATCTACATTAATAATCTTAAGAACTTTGAATTTTGAACATCAAATAAAGGTTTTTATACATGTACATGTACCATGAAATTCAAGGAATCTAACTTGATTTTATTCATTTGATATAATTATAATTAACCACAAAAAATTTACTATTCTGAACATTTTGAAAGGGAATATGAAAGTGTTTTTAAGTAAGAAGACATTGAGCAAGGAATCTGAAAACCTGTCATATAGTCAATTAAGGATTTAGATGAAGTTTAAAGAAAAGTAATTATATATATAACATGAAATAATTTAATGTCTGCAGTTCTTCAGATAAATATGAGTAGAAGTGTAGTGAACCTACAGACATGACAAGGGGGCTGATATATAGCTCGACATTTTTCATAAAATAACTCTTTATCTTAACAGGTATACATCAAAAATATCCCTTTAGACTTGATCAGCTGTTGATTCAACCATTGATTGTGCAATGTTAATTTCAAATTCAGCATTAACATGTTTAATTTTTCAGTACTGAAATACAAATAACATCGGAATAATGTATTTGGTTGTTCAAAACGTAATCAATCATACGAATCATGTTAAATTAAAGCAATATTTAACGACTTTCATAAAAAGGTCATATGACATAAGATTTCTGACTTTACCATGGCTTCCAGATCTCGCCATTGTGTCTTTGGGTTTAGTTGAAATATTTGTGAAGCTTCGTTGTCCCCTTCGTATCGCACGTTTATTGCAATTAATTCATCCATTTCTGTCATGCGGCTAAGTGTCAATCTTCTCAATTAATGTGTATTCGAAAAAATCACAATATTATACTTTCATCTTCCTTTCTTGTTGACAAATATGCCGCATTATCATCTAAACACAAAACTGATTACACGTTAATAAATAGTGCGATATTTTAAAGACTTATCTTTAAAATCGTGCAAATTTGAAACAACTATGCCTGAACAGTTCTAAATTTCATACAAAATTGAATTATTTTTATAGCTTTTGTCTATTGCATTATTAAGCAAAGCTAATAATTTTCGTGCGACGGATGAAATACTGGCGCAGTAATACTTTTCTTTCTATTTTTAGAAATTACCAGAGTGACGTAAAAATTGATCGCCAATGACACGTCTGTTTTGAAACATGACGAATTTAGATGTGACAACATATTTGTCGTCCCAAATTCTTCTCTGATTATTCTAGAAATCTGATTTATTAATAGATGAACAGTTGTCATTTTTGGGCCTTTTATCACTGTTTATAGCCGATGCGACTATGTGGTATCGGTCGGTAGGAAAAACTAACGTACTGTAGTAAAAAGTAAAATCACAAAAATACTGAACTCCGAGGAAAATTCAATCGGAAAGTCCCTAATCACATGGCAAAATCAAATGACAAAACACATCAAACGAATGGACAACAACTGTCATATTCCTGACTTGGTACAGGCATTTTCAAATGTAGAAAATGGTGGATTGAACCTGGTTTTATAGCGCTAAACCTCTCACTTGTACGACAGTCTCATCAAATTCCGTTATATTTACAACGATGCGTGAACAAAACAGACATAATAAATAAAATAGTCAAAATATGGGTAGAGCAGTCATCACTGTGTTACAATATCAAAACAACTTGTGACAATCATTTACAAAAAAGCACAAAAGCATAGAATTTTGAAATTAAAAACCACTTTCATTGCTTCGCGTGTATGACGTCAGAAAATGTAAACGTCACATAAGAAGAAATTTTGTCGTTCAATGTTTATTCAAAAAATTTTTATAATTTCACATGGGGAATGTTTGTATAGAGTGGGTGGCGCATATTCGCCGTGGACACATTTTCGCCGTTTTTCATTTTTTTCTGTAAATTTCGTGTGCCTTTACCCAATACTTACCTAAATAGATGCTAAACGCTGTTTGTAATGTTCGAACTGTTGATATTCCTCTTTACCCCATTTCCAATGTTATTCGCACATATAAAGAAATACGCAGGTGTTTTTGAACGATTTTGGCAATTATGCAAGATTTATATGTCACGCATGCGCAGTCATAAAGTTAATATTTGTTAGAAAAATCGTATAAGAATGATCTCTCAAGCTAATTCACGTAATTGCAAACAATTGTTTTTTATAATATACAAGGATAATGAGGATGGTCATATCATACATTGCGGCGAAAATGTGTCCCCTATGGTACAAGAACAACTTGATTTCCTCTTGAGTTTGCGTTCATTTTTAAAACATTTAACCAATGTCTTGAAGAGAATTCCTTTGTCAAACATTTTTTTCATATAGTAAACTTTCTGAAACCTACATAAAAAGTTTCAAATATTCGAATGTACTAGGTCGGATGTAGGTGGAAATGAACGAATTTTGCGGCGAATATGCGTCACCCACTCTACAGGGTTAAAAAATCAAAAGTTTATATGTTGGAATTAATTTCAGAAATAGACCGAGATTTAAACTTGTCCAGAAGTTCTTTAGAATTTTTAAGAATCCACATATGGTTAATACCACTACGCGAGTAAAATAAATTTGTCGTTTGTCGTTCAAAGTATTTTCAAAAGTGGGACTCTACAGGATGAAAAATTCTGTCCTGCATATTTTTTTAGTTGTAATCTCTGTCCTGCCTTTTTATTTTTCAATCTATTCGGTCCTGCCTTTTTTTTAAAAGTTTATCCTGACTTTTTTTAACCTAAATTGTCATCCTGACTTTTTTTTTTGGCAAGTGTCTCATCCTGCCTTTTTTTTTTACTCAAAACTCCTGTCCTGCCTATTTTTTTCAAATTTCATCCTAGCCCCCTATGGGATATTTGTCCTAAAAATAAATGGGATAAAGGATATTGATGCATTTTAAGGGATATTGAATTATGAACATGAAAAAAAAAATGTGGAATTTAAAAGTTAGTCTAAGTCAATTAAGTGACAGAAATATTTACACTTGATAAAATTGCCAAAAATAATTTACTAGAAAGTCTTAGGGATGTTGTGAATGAAACAGAACCTTTATTCAAGGCGAAATTCTCGCTGAAAAGTACATCCACAACCATTGTTGAAAATCTTTTCTCTGAGATGAGAGCAATCAACGACACACCACTAAATTAATGATACAATTCGCTCGCAGATTTTCAAATTGTGTACGAGAACTACTGACTTAAAAGAATCACACAGATGTGTTTCTTGTACTATACTAGTGAGTATTCACATTATGAAAAATTTTCAAGTTATTGCTTGAATTATCATTCTCTGGAGCAAATGTCTCAGCCCAAAGAAGTAAAACTTTCAGACACAAAAATAAATGCAATGAGAGAATGGAAAATAGAAAATGGACAGTGTGTTCGCCAGTTAACGGTAAGAAACACGAGCACAAAAGACCACTCAGGAACTCTTCCTTTGAATTGTTATCTAAGGAAACCTCCAGATGTTCATGAGCTAGATTTTTTAAAATTAAAAGTGGATGTACAAGAAACTGTAGGTACTACAGTTGATATCCAGGAAACCAGAAAATGTAATCTACCGCAAGGGATCAACAGTATGTGTTTTTAAACGTGATATCAAAGGTCTACCATCTAGTCCTTTTTACCCTGTCATCACATCAGATTGCTATAAAATGCCTGATGATGTCAAATTTGTTTCGGGAAAGTGGTTTGCTAAGGACAAAATCAACCCTCTTGATTTCGTTGAGTGTACCACAGAAACATCAGAAACATTTATAGTAGAGAGTGTTATCGAAATTTTACTATTAGATGACTTTCAAGCTGAAGACGATGTAATGGTATTTTTTGGAGATTCCTATTATGCATGCATGACAAAAGCGTGTATAGGATCAGATATCAATGATGTCACGTGATATTACAAGAAGAGGTTGAGATGGATTTAGAGGAGGAATCTGCAACCAATGTTGCTCGTTTACCCACGAGAGGAAAGAGGAAGCGAAAACCTCGATCTGACACTGACTTCATGTTTTACTGATTTAGTTATAATTACTGTTAAATAACATGCTTATCTCTACAGTAACTTTTTATTTATCCACTGACGTTACAACGCTTAATTATATATTGGTTATTCCAGAGACATGTAGATTAAAATTTAAAGGTCTCTGATTAATTTTGAATGATTAACTTTTCTCTGTGAAAAAGCCTTACTACAACGCATACAACATGTATTTACGAATGTTGTATACAAAAATGGGTTTGGGAATGAATTAATGATTTTTTGGGATATTTCAAAATAGTTTTAGGGATACGGGATATTTGTAAAAAATATTTATTGGGATATTAGGGGTAAACATTATAGGGATATGGGATATTGGGACAAAAACTTAATGGGATATGGGATATTGATACCCCCTGAACAAGCCTCGTCAATTAAGATTGGAGTCGGCGAACGCACCTTTCCACGTGCAGGATTCGAACTCACAACCTCAGTGTTGACAGGCTAGTGATACAGTAGTTCGACTACATTTTTTTGAATAAAATTTATTGCACATTATTATGTTTATCTACAATATTACACAATCTATTATGGAAAACATGTAGTCCTTATACTATCCGGCTATCTCATTTACACAACTAGTTCTACCATTCAGGATCATTCAGCACATTCTATCATCATTTACTTGAAATTTACACAGAATACAAAATGAAAAGATTGGTAATATGAAAACTCAAAAACAGCTCGGTAATTATGTCATTCAGTAACAGTGAAATCGAAGTGTTCGTTAGGGGCTGAAATCCATTCCAACATGCAGTTATACGATAATGACCGTTAGCTAGACTAATTTCGTTTATTTGATGCGATTCTGCATCGATTGGGAAAATAGATCATTTTTAGCATCAGATCGTTCAAACTTTTTTGTATACAGTTTTAGTGAATTATACACCCCATATAAAAAAAAAGATCCTGGATCCGCAACTGGCAAATAATGCATGCATGCCTGTTCAGGATAAATACAAATTTAACAATATAAATAATTATATTAAAGGTAGGTCTTGCAATAGGCCAGGGGGTCGACATGGATAAAGGGCGAGCAGTATGGAACGCCACTGGAAAATGAGGACGTATTGGATTAATGAGACAGTAATTTAATTTAGAAACAGGCCTCCTATGGACCCATCGAAGAGTTGTTGCAAGGATTCTTAACGTGGCACTCGCTCTACACGAGGCATCGGATATAACGTCCCAATTCTGACCGGACGTGGCTGCGAATTTATACATCCTACACAGCTAAAACGGACGCTTTCCTTTGGCAAAGGGTTGCTGGTAGTAAGAAGACCAAATGATGACTATATTCCTATACCCCAGTCACCCTTGGGGTTGCCGGCGAGTTGACTAACTACATTATACTAAGTATAGAATGCTTGGAAGGTAATCGGCATTTGTGGAACAACTACAGAACAGAAAGACAATATAAGGACTAACTGCTAACAACAATCTAGAAGGCTTGAATTCCAAGATGAAAAAAAAACAAGAATGTGTCCATATAGTTCACGGATGCCCCACTCGGACTTTCATTTTCTATGTTCAGTGGACCGTGAAATTGGGGTCAAAAGTCTAATTTGGCATTAAAATTAGAAAGATCATATCATAGGGAACATGTAAACTAAGTTTCAAGTTGATTGGACTTCCAACTTCATCAAAAACTACCTTGACCAAAAACTTTTAACCTGAAGCGGGACAGACGGACGGACGGACGGACGGACGGAAGGACGGACGAACGAACGAACGAACGAACGAACGAACGAACGAACGAACGAACGAACGAACGAACGAACGAACGAACGGGACGAACGAACGAACGAACGAACGAACGAACGAACGGATGCACAGACCGAAAAACATAATGCCCCTCTACTATCGTAGGTGGGGCATAAAATGCGCGAAAGCTCCAC